CCTCGCCTGAAGCTGCGACAGGAAGCGGCGCGGCCTGGAGTCCGCCCCACCTCTGCCCCGTCGCGTCCTCCTGGCGCGTGTCTGTGGTGCTGCTGCGCGGGTGTCACCTCTACTGCCCGTGGCGTGGCCTGGGCCAGGCCCACAGGTCAGCAGGGGGTCATTCAGCGGAGGCGGCCACAGGTCCCGCCCCCTGGGGCAGCAGGGGGCCCGCACCTCAGAGACACCCCCACCCCGTCCCTGGCCCGGGAGGACCCCGCTGCGGAGGGCCCCGCAGTCCTGGGCACCCGTCCTGACGTGGGCCCTTGAGTCCACTAGAGACCTAGTGACCAGCGTTTCGGGGCACAGGCCTGGGCGGCCCCAGCTCCCCACTCCTGGGAGGCAGGTCCCCGATGCGCGCAGGTGTGCAGATGGCGCCTCTACCCTCGGCCATCGCCACCCGGCTCCCTGCTGGGGTGCAGTGCCGCGGACAGGACGGGGTGGCCTCCCACGGGACGGGCTGGGGGCCCGCAGCCCGCCTCTCAGGCCCACACCAGGCCGGCGGCCAACACTGCCCCTTCCTCCAGCGTGTCCCCCAACACGGCCTGTACCCCCCAGCGCAGCTGGTGAGTCCCATGGCCCGTGTCCCTTCCCACGGCCTGTGTCCACCCTGCCACGCGCAGTCTCACACCCCCCCCACAACTAGTCTCTGGCTGACCACTAAGCAACAGTGGCCCTGGGAGGGCAGCTGTGAGCCCAGGGAGACAACCTCGACCGGGCGCAACTGTGACCGGAGAGGTGCCCAGAGCACGCCTGCGCAGCGGCCACACCCTGCCCAGGGCAGCCAGCGCTCACCTGGCCTGGCCACCGCAGGGGGCTCCCCGGCCGGCCCTCTGCTCCCATGGCCTCGGGACCGGGCTGAGCGCTGCAGGCTGCCTGAGGGGCCGGCGGGGCAGCGGGCCTGGGGCGGGTGACCGCTACCAACAGCTCCGGAAGATTCCAGGGCAAGGGCCGCTCTCTCCACACCCGGAGGTCGGCCGAGGTTTCCTGGGCGTGGACCTGAGAGAGGCCGGAAAGGGACACAGGCGCTGCCCAGCCCCTGAGGCACCGGCGGCCAGGCGCAAATGAGCGGCTGCTGCCCTGGCCTGGGCAGTGCCTGTGCCTGACCCTGGGCAGTGTGGCGGGCAGCTGCGAAGCACCCTCAGCTCTCAGCTGCCTTGGGAGGCGCCGGCCGCGTGCGTTGCTTCTGGGCCCCAGAAAGGCCAGGCCAGCGCCAGGAGGACCCCATCGCAGGGCCACCGCCCTGCCCAGGGCGAGCGCAGGCCGGCAGAGGGCCAGCTCGTCCACACAGCCGGGCGGCCTCAGCCCCTGTGCCGCCGGCCCAGGCCAATCCCTCGGGGTGGCCCAGTGACCCCAGAGGTCCCACCCCCTGCTCCCGCTGCAGATTTGGGGGCGGGAGTGGGAACTGGGAGACCGTGGGAAGCTGGACCTGGCCTGGCGCGGGGAGGGGCGGGGCGGGAGGGGGCGGAACCCCAGCATCGGGAGGCACTGGCGCCCTCTGCCGGCAGGTCCTCCGCGCGCTGGCGGCCCAACCAAGAGCTGTCCTTGGCCTCCCCAGTGGCCGCGGTGAAGGCTGTAGCCGCCTCCGGGAGGGCTGTCCTGGGGGTCCCCGCGGGCTGCTCTCTGTCCTCCTCCCTGAGGCCCCAAAGCCTCGCCGCCGGGGGAACTGACCGACAAGGCTCGTGGAGCCGACCGAGTGTCCCCGCCCCACTGCGCCCACAAGTGACCACCAGAGACAGAGCTGGGCCTTTATTTGTGGAAGCCCGGAGCGGAGACTTGCTGCTGTGTGGACGGGTCCTCGTGGGTGGGCTGTCCACGGGGCTTCCTGGAGCCTCCCGGACAGGATGGCAGCGCCAGGGCAGCAGGGGACGCTGGTGGGGACGCTGGGTGGACACCCTCAGCCGGGCCCTGCGGGACAGATGGTGCTGACCGGACCCGGCTGTGCTCCCCATCCTGGCACCCCCCCTCGCCCCGCAAGTCAGACGAGGCCCTCGCGCCCGCAGCCCCCCAAGGGTCTGTTTCCAGCCACAGTTCACAGGTCAGTGCTTCTTCAGGCTGCTGGCTACTGCCCCTCGGCCCTCAGCTGCCAGGGCAGCGGCTGCTGCAGGCAGGTGCGGGCTCTGCGCCCTCACACGGGGGGGACACCCCTCGCCCACCCCACAAACGCCACTCCCAGGGAAGGGGCGAGAGACGCAGGGGCGGGACTGCCACCGGCGGGTGCCTCCTCTCCGGGCCGGCCCCAGCCCCCCACTCCCCGTCCCCCCAGCACCCCGTCCCCACCCGTGACACCTGCCCAGGCCCAGCCACAGCGAGGACCCTGGGGGTGCTGGGGGACGCACCGGCCTGCCCCCCGGGGGGGTGGCACCCCCGGCCTCGTCTGCATCCTCCAGGGGCGGCACCTGTGCCCGGGTGTCTGCGGCCAGCAGCGAGGCTGCCCGGTCAGCACGAGCCCTGTAGGTTCACATGTGGCGTAGGAGGCCACTGGCCAGGAGCTGGGCTCCACCCAGAGCTCAGGCCAGGAGCCCAGGCAGGAGACTGAGGTGGGGCGAGGAGGGGTCTAGACCCCCACACCGGGGCTCCCATGGGCCTTCGGAGAGCCCAGTGGTGCCAGGCTCTGGCCTCTCCAGGGAGACCATGGCTTTGGGTACCAATGACCTCTTCAGGGAAGGGGTGCGCCTGACCAGCCTTGGGTTGGGGGGCGGGGTGGGGCGGGAGCAGGACAGGGGCTGGGAGAGATTAGGGGCAGGGAGGCCCAGAGTCTGGTGGGGGCCAGGGCGGGGACAGGACACTCACCACCTGCAGAGGACTGTCCAGGTGGCAGCCGCCAGGCCACAGATCAGCATGGCGCCCAGCACCAGGGAGACCAGGGATGCCTTGGGGAGCCCTCCGGAGTCTACAGGGGCACAGCAGTCAGCCAGGCTGCGGCCGATTGCGTCCACACAAAAGGGCAGCCGGGGCGTGGTGCCTCTGCCCAGGCCTCGCCTCGCCCCGGCCTCCCTTGCGGACAGGCCCCCTCCTCCGGCTCCTGAGCCCTCC